AGAGTGTTTGTAAGAGTTGGTCTTTCCTTCGAGAGTTGTTTGTTGTAATATTTTGTGAGTTTAATACAAGTAAATTATTTACTTATTTTGTCTCCAACAAGTCTACATTCGAGTTGTGTACTTTAAATTTTTCTCAATAATGCATATACTGTTCCCACAATCCCGCGAGCTTGGACCATTAATTTTTTAGTAAATTTAGGTTTTAGCCAAAAAAAAAAAATTCACTTTTGGAAAAAGCCAAAGCCTTTTCAAAAAATACAGAAAAACCTCTCAACTTTCAAATCAAAGACATGCAAATGTAAAGGATTTCTTAGGAAATCCAAAAATAAATAAGGGCAATTTTGTCCATTTTGGCTTCTTTTACAAAATTTCTCTCTCCTTTGTATTTTTCCAAAGTCTCCCTAATTTTTTCCAAGTCAACTCTCTTTAAAAAGCTTTCTTGTTTGGTTTCCTAGTTTTCTAGAGCAGATCGATGAAGACATACTTTGATTTTGGATTTGAATGCTTGATACTCTCATTTTGAGGATTTCTTGTTTGGTTTCCTAGTTCGATTGACATTGATCCCATGTATTTATTTCTTTATAGGATTTCCACATAGTGAAAATAATATTTGTTACTTTGTACTCCAATTATAATATTTGTTAGTCAGGCCGTGGAACTAAAAATTCCCTTTAGATGTCAATGGAGTCTAGCTAAGTTGAAAGGGTCTTTACTTGTATATCAGTGATCTCACCCGCCACTGGTGGTTCTTTGTTTTTTTTTCTTCCACAATGCTCTTTCTTAAATCTTTTGAAAGGGATATTCGGGTCATTAAAATTTACATTGCATTATCGCTGTGCTAAATACTATTATTGAGCCAAATAGAAACTCCATTTATTTCTAATAGATATATTCATAATTACACAAATTGTATCTAAACTGTTTCCTTTGTCGCTTTTCTAGCGATTTAACCCAATTACAGTATAAAATAAAGCCATATCATATTTTTTTTTTTTACAGTGTTTCGTTTTCTAGAAATTTACATTTATACATTTTCTAAATTTAACAATCATGTGAAATTAAGCACAATAGTTTTGTACTAGAAATTTGAAACAAACACATAAATGTTTCTTATTCTTCTATATATATAGCACAAAAGGAGAGAATGACGAAATATTCAAAATACCAGAAAATGACATTGGTTAATTCAAACATTAAGAATTTGAATTATTAATTAAATGAGGATAATATGATAAATTCACATTTTATATATCTATAAGCAAAAGTCGAGAATAGTGAAATATTCAAAATACCAGAAAATGCCCTTAATTAATGCAAACATTAAAAATTGAAATTATTAATTAAGTGAGGATTGTATGGTAAATTCACACTTTTTCATATTTAAAAAAATTAAAAGAAAAAGAAAAATAAGATAATAGATCTTATTTTTATAGAACACAACTATGCATTATATTTTTTTAATTCTAAAATAAATTTAAAATTTTTAAAAACCTCTCGCTAGCATGAAAGACAAAGAATGATGAAACATTCAAAATACTAGAAAATTCCCTTGGTTAATTCAAACATTAAGAATTTGAATTATTAATTAAATGAGGATAATATGATAAATTCACATTTTTTTTTCATATTAAAAAAATTAAAATTAAAAACAAAATCAAATAATAAGTCCCACTTTTATGGAACATAACTACCTATGTTATTTTTTTCTTAATATCAAAATAAAATAAAAACGAATAAAGAAAACCAATTGGCACATATGTAAGCATGTGCCAATGGGCTAGTATTATTTTATGAAAATAAAATCGTCAACCTAAGAACTTTTAACAATACGAGGCACACAACCAACATCGCAACCACCATTCTAATTGCCAAATCACTAACATCACAACAACATTCAACATTCAATCAAGTGATAAAACTAACAATCTAAGATATTTAAAGGTTCATATCAATGTGTGAGAGGAAACGCGATAGTTAATGGTCATAACTAATAAGCAAGTATCATAAGAGTAATTAAATTGGAATATAGAATCAGTTTGATTCGGTTTAGAGACGATTCCAATATAGATCAATCTGAACCGAACCAAATTAATTATAGTTTGGTTCAACCCGGTCCAACATTTCAAACCATTTGGTTAAGCCGGTTGTTTGCCCACCTCTAGTTATTACCCTAATCCATGGGGCAACATCATAATTCCAACTGAGGAGTCAACTTCCAAAAGGAATCAAACAAAAACGCAAGCAGAAATACTAAATACCACATCTTTTTTAAAAAGAAAATGTAAAGAACAAAGACAAACTTTAATTTCATGCCAAGAGACACAAGGCGTTAAACAACTGACCATAATCGATCATTTTCTATAGCTTTGCCCAATGTGTCGGGCACATTCAATAATTAATACTTTTCCATGATAAATGTGTGCAACAAATTGATTGTTAAAACGACACAAACTGACGTTTGCTAATTGTAAACGGCTGTGAAACGCATCTCATGCTATACGAACACTTCCACCCCATTAGGTTATGGTAAAGGGCAAATAAGGGCAAACATTATTAATGTGAATGGTAATTGCCCTATTAATTTTTTGATGCATTTTCACTTATTGCCATGGCAATCCAAGGGCAACCACTATTTACATGAGATATAAAGAGAGGAATTTATATGTATTTTGGTGTGGGAAGTAAAGAACATAACTAGGTATTTATAAATAATAATTAAAACAAATTCTGAATTTTTAGTTTTTTTATTATTAAATTTTTGGGTATTTAAATTGGCCGCTAATATCAATATGATGTCAGTTTGCCCAAACAGCAACCTGAGCAAGTCTTGGAGCTTGTCCAATTTTATGGGCCCACATCTTGTCACAACAACCTTTTCTTTATAGGGATTGTTTTGGAACCTAGGCCCCCTTTTACAAGGAGGGGTGGAAGTGCTCTAACGGCGGTGGTGACCATTACTGTACGCAATCTAACTGTAGCACGGTAAAAGAAAACGATAAAAAAATAAACAAAATGGAGTTACATTTCAACCCTAATTATATAAACTGGCAAATTGTAAGAAACAAACAAATGGAGACTACAAGAAACATCTATTAAATATCAGCATATTCGTCATGGAAAGTAACAATTTTGGTCACACAATCAACTAACGTCCAAATACTGGTGGTCCCTAGAAGCTGGTGACAAATTCAATTCCGTGGTCATCCTCAAATGGTGGTCACTAAACCACAAACAATTAGTGACTTCCTCTTCTCAGTCACTCATGAAAATGGTATTAGTCACCACGAGTTTAATCGTTAAAAAATTAAATTTTTTTAGTACAAGTAATAGTCCAAACTAAAAGGAATGACGATTGAGTTAGATTTCGTTAGCAATCACTAAAAAGCTTATAATTTGATCATTAACACGCAATTTGGTCATTGAAACATAAGTGACTAAAAGGTTTAGCCCCTACTTGCCATTACAAAAGTTTGCTATAAACACTTCTCCCAATCAAATTTCTGAAAGGTTAGAACATTTACCTGAGCTGTTAGTCACCTAGCGTTAATTATAAACACAATTGGATTGGCTTTGCCTCAATCTCGAAATATGACACGACTTGCTAATTTCATCAAGGGCCTCAAGCAATCGGGAGAGAATTTCCTCGCAAACAAGTAGGAATAGCTTGAATTGGACTTCCTCAAGGTATGGTCCGTACTGTCAGTCCAATTCACTCTTGTAAGTGTGTAGTGGCTACAACCTTCGGGGTCCTCCATGGACAAAAGTGTTGGGAAGTAATGCTCCTCAGGGTAGCAAGAGTAGACGTTCAAGCAAGGCAGCTTAAATTTCCTCCAAAGTCTCTTGTCTTGGAGCACGAGCAACGAGTGCCGCTTGGTCAAGATATAAAACTGAGATCCAACTCTGAATTGCTCGAAAGGCACTTCCGGGAGCATCACATTGTCTCCCCGAGCAACGTAGCGCTCAGGGAGGTTGGGATCATCGGAGAGGATTTCGATGAAACTTTGGTGATTTGATTGGGTGGCAAAATCTCTTAAAGCGGCGAGTTCGCTGCCATAGAGAGTTTTGTAGACGAAGGGAAAAGAGTGCAGTGGGATACAGTGTTGGGACACCAGGGCAAAGTATAGGTTTAATGGATCGTCGAGGATGGCGTTGGCGAGGAGTCTACGCGCCGCAGAGATGAGCGTGGGGGAGGCCCGCTCGGTCTTCTTTGCCGGGACGAAGCGGCCTTCGAATACGCCGCCGGGAGGAGTGATCTGGACCGTTGGATCGGCATGGATGTAGATGTTGAAGAGGTGTTGGTGGCCATGGAAGAACTTTTCCCATAAAGGGGCAAAAGAGAGGTCTGAGTTTGTGAGGAAGAGGAAGGCGATTTTGGGTTTAGGGTTTGTGGTGGTGCCCAAGTGGGAGATAGAGGAAGAAGATGTACGATGATGATGAGAGGAAGAAGCAAGTATAGCTTTGTGGAACAAAGCGACGTCGTCTAGCTCATCTGGAGACAGTGAGATTTGAAGGTCTGTGAGGAGGAGGATTCTTGGGGCGATGAGAAAGAGGAGAGGGAGAAATATGAGTAGAGACAAGGCTGGGATTAAAGGAGAGGAGAACATTTTGGGTTTTGGTTTTGGATGAAAGTATTAAAACCTAGATTTATGGAATTGGGGGATTGAAATTGTGCAGAAAAAGATAAGAAAGGGAATATTTAGGGCTTAAGTCGACGATAGTGTTTTAGTAATTATTGAAGTTGGTGGTGGTGATGGTGGTGGTGGGGAGAGAAGGATGACATCTTTTTGGAAAGTGGGCTGAAAAGAAAGGGGTTGAGGATTGGAAGAGAGGGAAAGCGATGGATGGATGGATGGATAGATTTGAGTATATGCTTCTTACTTTTGCTTTTGGTAAAGTGCAAATGACCAAAGAAAAAATAAGTGGAGTGCGATGAGAGAGAATAGGGTTTTGTAGTCAAAGAAAGAGATTGAGGTTTTTCTTTTTTATTTAAGTATGGGGGGATTGGACGGTTGGTTGGTTCTGGGGGTGGGGGCTGTTTGGTGCTTCAATCGATTGGGAGTGGAATCATAATTCATGAGTGATCCCTTGCACTACGAAAAGGCGTTTGGGGTGAATTTTACCATTTCTTTTTTTCCATTTGTTACAAAAATTTCCAATCCTTGTGTCTATTATTCGGTTTTTAAGCAAGCCGAAGAAACACAAAACTGTACGGCGTTTGTAACTCAAGTTGTTAAGAGTATTTATCCTTAAATCTTGCCCTAAAAGACCGAGATTGAAGCCCGAAAAGACCTTGTTGGTTATGACTATAGAGAAGAATGGAATTGATTAAGGCACCACATGTGCATCCACCACTTATGGAAAGTTTTTCACCAAGGGAGTGTATAATAACATGATATAACTGGTTTTATTTAGGTTATTTTTGTGATTAGTCTTTGGTTGTCAATTTATTAAATGAATTTTTTCATTTACCATAAAAACTTTCAAGTCATTTCTTAAACCGACCCATACATATATCATGTCTTAGTCCGGCCATGCGTGTGCAGTTCTCTTTTTTCAAATCAAGCCCACTCAATTATCTTTATCTTTAATTTCATTTACTGAGGTGATTGATTGCTTTATTTTTTGAGGTTTTATATTTAAACCCCACACTTCTCTTAGTTCACCCCATGTTCTAAGTTCACCCCAACTTTTAATTTAAATTTTCACAATTTCAAAGTAAACCTCACTATCTTCCCAAACTACCCTTAAATACACCCAAAACTGAAAAAAAATAAGAAATAAAAGAGATTTTCTATTTAAACCCCTTCAAGTTTCAAACTGATATAAATTGTTGTTGCTTCCTATTCTTCCTTGAGTTTTGCAGTGCATTGGTTCCAACCTCTGAAGTGGTTGTCAATGAACAAGTAGAAAAGGAAGAGGAAAAGGTGGTCGAAGAGTGGTCGTCAATCAACAGTCATTAGGAAGATTGAAAATTCAAGAGTTGGTGCCAGTTCTTCCAAGACATCAAAAGACAGCATGACTCCTCTAAGAACTCCAACTACGGTGTGCCTCCCAATTTCTTTGAAGTTTTTCTAAAAGCATCTCCAAAGATTTGCAGTTTTTCCAACAGTGCTTACTGCTAAAGAGTTTATCTTTGGAACTGCAGGTATCTAAGAATGAGGTGCACAAGCGTTGTACAAAAATTCA